ACTGGGTAGGACAACCTGAGTAGTGGGTAGGAATTGACATCATCTGACCAAGTTTGGTTGGTCTAGCTCTTACAGTTTAGGCTGTACATTCAGTTTTAGGGCAGGAAAAAAATAATAATAAAAGAGAAAAATCCTAAGAAAAACAATAATGGTCCATAAGGACTTCGTCCTTTGGACCCTTAATAATAATAATGATGATGATGATGATGATGTCTTTCCTGATTAGAGAATTGACCATGAAAGCATAATGTAGAGTTCATAAATAGTTCAAACATAAAATAAGAAAATGTCCATGTGCCCCACCTATTTCACAAGCCGCTACTGTACTGCAGTATAGTCCATTGTGTGAAATGCTGCCCACCCAAAATTTCTAATTGCACCCCCAACCTGAGCAGTCTAGATCCTGGCCTGGTTTCAAAAGGTGAGGTTTTGGATGAGCTGCTTAGGCTGGATACTAAAAAACCAGCTGGGTCTGATGAGTTGGACCCATTCTTTAAGATTTCTGCCCCAATCATTGCTGCTCCTATCACAAATGTTTTTAATTTATGTTTTTGTACAGCTGAATTACCACAGTCATGGAAATCTGCTGTAGTACATCCATTTTTTAAGAGTGGAGATCAAGCTGACCCAAGCTGTTATAGACCAATTTCTATTCTTCCCTGCGTATCAAAGATGTTAATAAGCAACTTACAGATTATCTGATTGTTTATAAAATCTTGTCTGGAGTCCAGTCTGGTTTCCGAACTGGTTTTGGTTGTCTCAACAACCGTTGAGGTTTTAAATGACATCACTACTGCTCTTGATTCTAAAGAATATTGTGCAGCTATTTTTATAAATTTTGCCAAAGCTGTTCTTCTTGACAGATTGAGCAACTTTGGAGTCTCTGGTCTTTCATTAACATGGTTCTCAGATTATTTTAAAGCCAGGGTACAACAGGTAAAATCTGAACACTCTCCAAACCCTATTTGTCACTAAAGGGGTTCCACAGGGTTCAGTCCTAGTCCCACATTATTTTTCTAGTTATATAAATGAAGTTGCTAGTTTTATTGGAGATTCATCTATTCATCTTTATGCTGATGATATTGTCATTTATCCCTCTGGTTCATCTCCTGATACAGTATTTACAACACTTCAAGTTTTTTTTAGGGTCCAACAGGTGTTTCTACTCTTCACCTTGTGCTAAATATAATAAAGACTACGGCTATGTGGTTTTGTAGAAAAGGTGTTGTCCCTCCTCCCCAATCCCATAAATTTTCTGTTATTTATGATGCTTTTCTAGACTGTGTCACAGAGTACAAATACCTGGGTATCTGGCTAGATCGCTCTCTATCCTTTTCACACCATATCAACTGTTTACTGTACAAAGTTAGACTCATTTTTTTGTATAGAATTCATTCTACTATTACTGAATCAGCAAAACCGGCTCTTGTTGAAAGGGGTATTTATAGCAAAATGGTTGATAAAGAACATCAAGCTTCTGAAGCAGACTTTTACAAGCTGACCTATAAATGACATCACCATTATCAAGCATCGGAAGAATTTAATTTCAAAAGTATTGTATGCACGAGAACGTAAGAACATTTTATTTTTTTGCACAGGTCCCTTCAGGGACATTTCAGACTCTGCTTCAGGAAAAGCAAAATTAATATTAAGAACATCATCTATTATCTAAAGTAACAGAGAAAACAGATTTTTTATATGGATTTTTATTGGATTTTGATTTTATACAGATAGGTCTATAAATCAAGCAAAAATAAAAAATATTATTAAATAGCCACAGTTTAATATAATCCAATAGGCATATTACAAAACCTTACAAAAATTAAGGGAAACCAACATAAACACAAGCAACCAGAATAGCTGCAAACAGCTTAACATGTCTCTTGTCATCAATTAAGACAGGGTAGTAGGGATGTGCAGAGATGCTTTCAATTTTAGAATTGATTCTAACTTTAAATTAAGAAAGACAGAAACACTTGCTTTCTTATAAGGTGTATAAATATTTATTTTTAATATTATGTTACATATAATGAAATAACATGTGTCATGTTGTCATTATGGTGTCTAAAGGCAATTTGCTCGCATATAAAAGTTAGGATAATGAAACGTAGGTCAATGTGTTAAACACAAAAACATGGTATTAAATAAGTGGGGTTTAAGGACAAAACTGTCTAGGAAGAGACCTGGACCTAACAGAGGAGGGGCTGAGAGTGGGACTGTATACATTCTGGAAAAGGTCTGGAGGAGGAGAACTGCAGGCAGGAGGCAGGTTGGGTTTGGGTTAGGGGTGCTTATGCTAATCCTTGTGCTCCACTGGTTTGGCTGGAGTCAGTTTTAATTTAGAAATATAACATTCATTAACCATATTTGCTGGCCTGTCCACCTAACTCAGTGTCACACTGGGATGAGTCTGGAGATGTCATAGTGCCTTCTCCTGTCATGCTATTCTTCTGCAGCAACTGCTCCTCTCCTGGGAGAAAAAATAGTAAGAATAAAGCAGAAGAGCACTACTCCATCATGCACAAAGAATCACACATCCTCCTTTCTTAACATCCTACTTTTATCATTGTGCCTTGGGTTATCCTCATCATCAATCCCATAGATCGGTTTCATGAAGGGGTACTCTTCCAGCACCTCATGGAAGTGATCTGCTGACAGGGAGTAAAGGCGGCAGTAGGTCTCGGCCAGGACAGTGGCTGTGCTGTCTTCTCGGGTCAGCAGACACATCTCTGGGGCAGTATGAGACGTCAGGGTGGAGGTGTGGTAGACAGAAAATGGCACATTAAAAAGTTAGTGATGGAAGAAACGAGGGTTGGGAAGCAACAGTGGGCAAGGGTCATTTATGCCAATCACAACAGTGGGCAGGGGTCACTGCTGTCAGTCATTTAAGCCAGTCACAACAGTGGGCCGGGGTCACTGTATTCTGTCAATCACAAGCAATGAAGTAGCTGATTGGATGAGCGCTAAATCCACAAAACTGCATTTACAAGCTTCCTTTCTGTTCTTACTAGTAAATGGGCATGAATGGGGAATGGGAACAGCGGAGCACTCACTTTTATGTTATGAGTCAAACAGTTATTAACCCTTAGTTATTTAGTCAAAGCCATAAAAATAAACCCAATTTTTAGCAGTTAAAACAGGTACAGTATTACAGTTAAACAGTATTTTTAAACAGTATTCACAATTAAAATTGTGATATTTTCAAGTTAAGAATACTTGAGTAAATCACCTCCCAGTAACTAAACCAGCAATTTTAAATGAAGTTTGTGTCTTTAATTACCTTGCTACCTGTTGTCCTTATTAAATAAGAGAAAATTAGAAGCAGAGCCAAAAAACTGCAGTATTAACTGCACAACCCCCCCCCCCCCCATTGTGAGGAGCATTGCTCCCCTTGGCAGCCTACCGCCATAATAAGCCCCATCAGTGAGGCTCAGCTCCTCATTCTCGGAGGTGGTCACGTTGATAGTTCCATGCTGGATGAAGTACATTTTGCGTGCCGCCGAACTCTCGCGTATGATGATATCCCCAGGTAGGAAGATCTCGAGGCAGAGCTTGGTCATCACAGCAAACACGAAATTTGGGTCCGCAGAAACAAATAGTGGCACATTGGTCACCAAGTGGCGGCAGTTATGGTTCACAATCTCCTAGAGAAGGGAAGAGATGAGATGGTTTGGAAGGCAGGGATAAGACAAATGGATGTCTGTCCCCTGCATGGTGCACCGTCCATCCACTAGAGAGAGACATAAGCACTAAGAGTGCAACTGATATGCTGTATTTTTAGAATAATCCCTGTTCATGTGTGGCAGAAGTAAATGAGCGAAAAACAAAAAAAACCATGCAACCTATTTCACAAAGCACAACATAAGGAGCATCCTGACTGGGATGCCAAATCAGATCAAATCAAATCTCATTGCTTAACAGTTGATAAGTACAGGTTAGTGAAAATTTCACAACAGCAGGAACAAAGTAGTGGAAATAAAAACAGTAGCACAAATAGGAAGTATACATTAAAATGGTCATATGGAACAGTGGAAAAACAAGTGTGCAAATTAGAACAAATAAATGCAATGAATAGCCATAACTGTAAGCAGAAACGTGGTGGGTATGGGTTCATTGACCATAAAGCAGTGCTGCACTAAGCGACTTGAAAGGTTTTGAACTGAGCAGCAGTGACAACATCATTGGAGACTCTTGGAGAGTCTTCTGTACACTGTTATCCAGGGCTGACGCCAACATATTCACCATAAAAAGCAACAGCATACAAGATCAGGAGGTCATTCTCCAGTCTGCCCACCATGCACTACACACACTGCCAATCTCTAGCATCAGGTCCATCTCAAGCATGAAAGTTGTCACTGTGTTTGGTCTTTGAATAACATGTTGCTTGGTCAAAATCATAACAGTCCATCCAACTCCACTGGTAGCAAGAGCCAGCAATAGTCTCTATGAACAAACAACATGGTGTCCATAGGCTATTCTACAGTGCCTGACAAAAGTCTTGTCACTTAACCAAGTTGTAGGAACAACAAACAACTTGACCTGTAGTTAATCAGTTGGAATCAGAAATGGCTTA